TGATTTTCTCTCTCTTCAAAATGAGCTGATTTCAGCTTAATATTGGTCTGATCGGCCCGGCCGATCGCACGATCGTCCTGGATGATCTGAACAAAATCCAATCGGCCTGGGACGATTTCTCAGGACGATAATTAATTTCCTGGATGATTTGCTCTCTGACTTTTGCTATGAACTGATCGTCCCGGGACGATCCCAGATCGGCCCGGACGATCCCTACGGGAAATCATTCCTGTAACTTCTGTACATATTCTAGAACAAATTGTGATCTGATCATCCTGGGACGATCTCGATCGGCCCGGACGATCCTGGAGCAGATCTGATGTTACACCTCTGACCACTTTCACGTGCCAACTACGGTCCCTCTGACTATAGTGGCCTGTCAAGTACGATCCCTTCGATCACCATCACTCATTTCATACGGTCCATTTGACCTCTGTCGCCCGCCAACTATGGTCCCTCAAACCACCATTGCCCCCCGACTACGGTCCCACCAACCATCATCACCCAAATACAATTCCTAGATCTCCTTCATCTGACTTCAATCATATCAACCAAATAAATAACCCAACATTCTCTGAAGAATAGCTCTCATATCATTGGATTCATATAATTCCAATTATGTAATATGCTATATATGATGTACATTGACCAAAGAAAAGACATCATTTGTAATCAGCAACAAGCACTAGTGGATTCATTTTAAATAGGCCAACCCCCGTGGTTTTTCCGCTTTTAAGGATTTTCACATAAAATTGTTGTTCTCTTATAACTCTCGCATCCCTCTCTCTTATTTGTCTCTGTGTTGGATCTTTGTTCAAAGCTGAGACATTAAGCGCTTTATATCTCTACCATCACAAATGCTCAAGGACCCAACAAGAGCGTAACAAAAATATATGCTTCTTATGATGAATATAGAATACTATGTTGAACCCTTCCCATGATGATGGTTTTATCATAAGAATTTCATAATCATAGCCATTCATTTGCAAGATCAAACTTCTAATCACAAAAATAATTACTTTAAGACATTTCTCTCATTATTTGTTTAGCTATTAAATATCATAATCAATTATTTCATTTTCAAAATCAAGCTTTTAATAATAAAGATAAATACTTTGAAACCATACCCCAATGACAGCTATATTATAATAATATCATAACTAGAGGAATTCATCATCCAAATAAAGCTCTTAAGCCCAAGAGAATTATAATCATAGAAAATCATAATAAATATGTAAACTAACAATAACAAATAATAAAATATTTCATGTTCCATTTTCAATAATGGACAAAAATCAGTCAAAACCAAAGAGAACTTCACCTAAAAGCGGTTCCCCCTTATAAAATAAAAATATAAAATAAAATTTTAACGATCATAATACTATTTCTGTGAATAAAAAAAATTAAGAAAAATATTTTAATTTTTATAATTAATTCAGATTGACCACACCTAGCCGTTACTTTAATGCATCATGCGATTGACTTATTACTTTAAAAAAAAAAAAAAATTTGAATCGACGAGAAAAGACAAATTAGATGGCCTGAGGCGGCAGTACAATACACCTATTCCTTTCCACAACAAGGATACAACATACAAAATGAAATCTCATCCGTCCATCACCCGCACACGATCCAAAAGGCATAAATTAAAGAGTTCCTGCGGAACAGTGGCACAATCGCAGATCCCAATACCCTTCGCACACCGGAGATTTCCGCCTCCGGCTGCCGGAGTCGGAGCTGGAGTTGAAACCAAAGAAGGTCAGAAAGGATTCGGAAGCTTCAAATCAGATCTAGAAGCAAAGCAGAACGAGAGAAGCGGAGACCATGAAGCCAAATGTGCACATCAGAAACCCAAAATGCAGAGCCCAGCTCCGCTTAAACTTCCCGAAATAGCTCTCCGGCGGCTCCTGGTAATGGATCTCGAACTCACCCGGCAGAAGTGGCGCCTCCTCGCCGGCACCTACGGCGGCTGTAGCTGCCGCCGCGGCGGCGGAGTAGCGCAACTTGAGGTGCTTGAGGCGATCCGTGGCGAGGGCGAGGGTAAGCTTGTGGCATCGGCGTTGGTACTTGAATCCGTTGATGCATCTTAGGGTTTGGGCGACGGAGACGTAGAAGATGAGATGGGCGAGGGAGAGGAGGCCGATCGGGACCCAGCAATGGCGGCATTGAAGGCGAGTTGGCTGGGCCTGGACCTGGGCGGCGAGGACGAGCGCCAGGAAGAGGAAGAAGAGCTGAAAGAGACGCCACATCTCCTTCTTTTGGGCGTCTACAGCTCTCTTTTTCTCGAGGGTTTTCTCGAAGTGAAGCTGGATGATTGTGTTGAGAGCTTGGGTAGCTGCTTCTCTTCCGACCACCATTCCCCCACCGGCGGCGTGGTCGTCGTCGGCGTAAGCAGTTTCGGCCATTTCTCACTCTTGGGGTGTTTATCTCTCTATCTCTAGCAAGAGGTTTTCTGATTTGGTTGCATCGGATTCCTCTGGGGATGACTCTCACAGTGTAATATAGTAAAGACTAAAAGACGGGTAATGTTGTAATTTTTTTTTTGGACATTTAGGTCATTTAAAGCAAATTCATACACATAATGACACAACGCATACACAAAGACTCGAACCCTGAACCTCTTAATTGGAAGCCAAAGCTCTCAACCAATAAGCCAAGGAGAGTTGTAAATTAGTTATTCAAAATCATTCATTTTAATCATTATTTATTATTCTATTTGAGTAAATAAACTTTAAGTTATTCAATCTAAATAAACTTAAATTGACTACACTTCTTTTTTTTTTTTTTAATTTTTTGGCTTTGCTATATTATTAATAAAAAAGAAATATTACAAAGAGTGAAACAAGATGAAAAAAAGATCAGTGAAACACAACGGAACAAAAAGACAAGGGAATAACCAATAAAAATAGAACAAAAATAAAATCAGAAACAAAAAATATTTGAAAAACTGCAATGAACTCAGGTATAGCAGTCATTATTTAGAAAATACTTCACTAAGTACCCTGGTTGCTCGTAGACCTTCCAAGAGGATTCAAAGTCTGGTTATCATTATCATTCAGGCAGAAAGAGGAACCGATTGCATGACATATTCTCAGTGACTCAAATTCAACATTTAGAAGTCTCTGAGAGATCCTTTTATTTGAAGTATGATGTGTAGTAATGACACTTAAAAACTGCAAAAGAATTATTCTGAAAGTCACCCAGAACAATAGAGAAAATCAAAGGTTGAATTTCTCTATCAACATAGTTCGTCCTTTCCATTTAATAATCTTAAATCTCACACCTTTGGAAATTTTTTAGAAGTGTACAAGTACACATAGCCGATGAATTATACCTCCGATAAATAATGGCATTAAATAATAAGAGAGTGTAGAAATTTTTATTTTATTTTCCCCCGGCAATCCACCAAAAAATTCTAATGCCTGTGAAACATTAGGTCTTAAGAGAAAATTTTGCATCTTAGGAATCAGATGAATCAAAGTCTTATAAGAATATTCACAATCAAAGAATAAGTGAGAAATTATCTCGAAGTTATTGCTGCAGAAAGAACAATGAGAGGTAGTAATAACAACATTTCTCCTAATTAACACCTCAGCTGTTTTAAGCCTATCCAGGAGAGCCATCCACGTAAAAACAGAGTACTTTGGTGAATGTTTCTTATGCCATATGAGATGAGACTAGTCAATTGTGCCTTCATTGACAAAAAAATTCCTTATAAAAGTCTTTGAAGCAGCCTTCAGATTATTCTCCCATACAAGAATAACTCTTGTCACTAAAGATAGGGATTTTGTTTAAGAAATCATGAATTTCTGGACGAGAGTGTTAGGAATGCTCCAATTACTGTTATGAATCCAATTAGCAATAATTTCATTAGCTTTACAGTAGTTCGATAGGGGGAAGTCAGGGAAGTGATTAGAGAGTTTTTCACCCCAGCATCAATGGTCCCAAACAATAGAACCCAGAATATTATTCTGAAGATTGAAATGGAATTTATTTTTAACTAAGAGAACAGTGTTGCAGATACTTTTCCAATATTTCGTGGAATTGACAGTGTTGTTCTTCCATGGAGAGATATAATGAGCTATCAGAAAATCAGTAAGAGTATTGGAATTATACATTTTGCTAATCATGCACTAGTTGTATGCAAACCTAATGGCCATGATGGAAGGAATACACAGACCACCATTATAGTGTGATTTATAAGTATCAACCCAGGATATTAAATATATATGTTTGTCTTTAGTATCCCAAAATACAGAAATTTAGCACAAATTCTCCCAATAGCTTTAACAATATTTTTAGGAATGAATGAAGCTCTCACCAAGTAAGCCACAGTATTAGTAATTGTATACTTGAAATATTACATCATGCCAGCTAACGATAGCATTTTGGCTTTCCATCCCATTAAAAGGCTATTGATGTTTTCTAAAAGAGGAGAGAAATAAAAAATTTTGAATTTCTCAGAAGTGATTGGTATGCCAAGGTAAATAAACTTAATAGTAATATTAGTAATGTTTAGTGCATGTGTAATGCTATAAGGGTTAGGGGTGTGGTGAGAAAGGGTGATAAAGATCTTCTGGTTAGGAGAAGACCAGTGTTGACAAAAAAATTATTCAAAATGCTTCTAAGATAAAGACAGTTATTCACATTTGCGTTCCCAAAGACAATAAGATCATCATCATATAATATGTAAGTAAGATAAAATCTTTCTACAAAAGTACCTCCAAACCCCTCATAATTTGATTGGTCTTCAAGTAAACAAGAATATCCATCCATAATAATACAAAACAAATAAGGACTAAGAGGGCATCCCTGACTTAAGCCCGAGGAAGATGGAAAAAGCCCTCTAAAGTCCCATCAAAGCAAATAGAGAAATTGACGTTGTAAATACACGTTTTGATCCAGTTAGCAAATTCAAGAGGGAAACCCTTTTGAATCAATCTAGAGATGAGAAGATCCCGTGAAACCGTATCAAAGGCCTTTCTAATATCAAACTTGGCATAAAAAAGATTTCTTCTATTGGATTTGTTGAAAAGATTCAGAATTTCATAAGCCAATAAAGGGTTATCAGTGGCCAAACGATTATAAATAAATGTTGGTTGACTTTTATGAATAATTAATGACATAATAGGTTTCATATGATCAGTTAGGATCTTAGCTATGATTTTATAGAATACATTACAAAGAGGAATAGGCCTAAAGTTAGCAATTTGATTAGCATTAGCTTTTTTAGGAATCAGGACAAGAGCAGTGGCCTTAGCATAATTGAGAAGAAAGATCTTAATGAAGAAGGATTGAACACCCTTAAACACCTCATTGCCAATGATATGCCATCATTTTTTATAGAATTCAAAATTGAACCCATCAGGCCCAGGAGACGAATCCGAGTATCCAAAAAAAATAGTAACCCTTACCTCGTCATAAGTGATTAGCTTAATTAGTAAGTTAGCCAAATAAGATGGCAAGGTAGTGCCTTTAGGAATTTGGCTAGTGTCATTAGTATTTGACTTTGAAGAATTGAGCAAATCCTTGAAGTGATAGATGATTTCTAGCTTTTTAGAGAGATTGTCTTTAGAAAACCCAAGTGAAGCAGCCGCTAAAGCACTATTATTTCTATCTTTTCTCCTATGAATCTTGGAATATAAAAAATTTAAATTTGCTTCGATCCCCATGTGAAAGCCATTTGGCTTTAGGCTATTGTATAGTCAAAGTAGACCAAATAGAACTATATTGAATCAGCTTTGAATTGAGCTTAGTACAAAGCTCATAATTAAGAGGATCATAATTGAATTGTAGCTGACACTTCAATTGTAGTTTTATAAGCAAATCAATCATAGGAATAATAATATTAGAAGATTGCAAATTTCTCTGCTTAATTATTTCTTTGAACCTTCTGAGCTTACTATAGAAGCAAGTTATAAGGTTTCCCATTATGGGAGATGCAAAAATAGTAATAAGCATGTCCCAGAACTCATAATAATGTATCCAATAGTTTTTAAACATAAATATATAAGATCTTTTCTATTGATCACCAACAGAGAGGATGAGGGGAGAATGATTAGAAGTAGAAGTACTGAGGACCTTATAAGATGAGTTGAAAAAAGTAGTAATCCATCTCTCATTGATTGGGGCCCGATCTAACTTAATATTGATTGGATTTTCTATTATCTAATTGTACAATGTAAAAAAGGGGCTAATGGAGGTAAGGTCTGACAAGTCGGTGTCAAAAATTAAAAAGTTAACTTGACCCAGCCTTGCTTCTGGGATAATATTGCCACCTACTTATTCTGAGTTATACCGACATCAATTAAAATCCCCAATGACTACCCATGATAAGTCATTTTGAGGATTTAGAGATCTGAGATCTTCCCATAAAATAGATCTATCATCATGAGAGTTAGAAGCATAGATAATAGAAAGGATGAAAGGTTGTTGAGAGACCACTTAGAGCTTACTAGAGATCATCTGGTAAGAGAAGAAATAAGGATCAAAATTAATTGTACCCGGGTTCCACTTGACCCCAATCTGCCTCAGACTGGAAAGATGGAAGTCAAGATGGAAGTTATTGCAACTATATTTATTAGCTAAGATCTCATGAAGAGAACAGAACCAAGGATCATTAATTTTTTTGAAGGAGAATTCTATTCTCTAAGAGACAGACCATATCCAACATATAGTCTCTAACCATTTTCTTAACACAACTAACTTTATCAGGGTTTTTGAATCCCTTGATATTCCAAACAGTGATAGGAGGAAAAAACATCAAGATTTTGAGTGAGTGCTCCTTTTGGAGCTTTTCCCCCGTATTTATTTGATTTTGAGCTCCCTTGTCTATGTGTTGTTGAGATTTGTTTGAGTTGTGGACTTGGAGGATGTCTCATGGATTATAGGGTTAACATAAGTAGGAGAATATCGGTTTATCAATTGGTTCTTTCCCCTTTTAGGTGATAGATTCTTCAGGGTCAAGAACATCTTGCAAAGTCAAGAATTTGTTTGAAGACTGAATTTTGGAATATTTTGTTTTTGAGGGAGGTGATTGTGTTATAGAGGATTTCGTAAATGAGAGAGCCTCTATGGGAGAGTTAAGGTTAGGGATTATAGGGATATTTGGTATAGAAAGGGAATTGGGGGTTGGGTCAATTGGATTATGGTTTTTGCTTTGGGCAGCAGTTGGAATGGGTAGAATCCCCTTTTGATCAGACAGTTCCATCCTAGGTCTGCTGCAGCTAGAGATACGCCCGTGAAGGTAAGTTTGGAGAGGTTTGGGTTGAGGTTGAGGATTTTGGTTTTTTAGACTTTTAGAAGCAGAGTGAATTAGAGATAAACAACATTGACATAGAGTAGGTTTTCATTCATATTGAATTCTGAGAATGAAAATTTTTCCTTCTACCAAAAATAGGAATAAATTTCGTATATGTAGCGATTGAGTAAACCTGCAAACATACTCTAGAAT